ATACACCACTAAATGTTTGCCTTTGGTGTGTCTTTGGGTCTCCATTGGTCCTCACCACATATGGTGAAATGCAAATCAATCTTCTGTTGGAACGTGGTAAGATACACCTCCAAATGTTTTTGTTTTTTGTGTTTGTCATTGATCCTTCATCTCTCCTTCCCACATATGATGTGAAATGTGAATGAATCTTCTGCAGGAACATGATTACATACACCGCCAAATGTTTTTGTCTTTTGTGTGTGTGTCGTGAATAACATAGAGACGACCCTCCCGTATTGGATCGGTTCTCACCAAATGTTCAAAATGAGTTTGAATAATCCACTGAAACATGGAAAGATACATTGTCATATTTGTTGTTTTTTTTGCATGTGGAGCGTAATAAAGCGACGCCCTTTGTCTCATAGCCTGCTGCACAAGGCAACATTTTCCCAACAACTGTGGTTCGGATTTCATTCGCAGCCTTTTTTTTTTTTTTTTTTTAGTAGATGTCCAACCTCGCCTCGAAAACAACGTCCTTATGAGTCGGGAAAAGTCATACCTTTTCCAACCAGCCTATTTGTAATTGAAAACAAAAGTCGCCGAGCTACCCTCATTTGCAGCTCTCGCTCTCTGGACTGTGATCTTTTGCCATCATGGAGACTGGTGGTTTAACCATCATGTTTGTTGCTGCAATCCTTCCCATTGTAGAGATCCATGCACGAAAACTCTCCCCAAAATTCGTTTTGAAAAACAACCGTCCATAAAGTCCCAATCGACATCGTCATAAGCTTTTTCAAAGTCGTCAATAAAATGGCCTTATCTCGCCAGCGATGTCGAGCGTATTTGATCATTTCATTAACGAGCCGCATGTTATCCTAGATATTGCATTGTGACATGGATCCCATCTGATCATGGTGGATCAGGCGATGTAGATAGGGGAGGAAACTATTCGTTAGTACCTTGACAACCCTCTCGTAAGGCAGGGTGAGACAAGTGATAGAATGATAATTTTTTATATCGTTTTTCTCCCCTTCCATGTACATCAGCGTTCTCACCCCCTGCTGAGCATCTCCCCAAACGTGCCTTCCACTATAACAGCCTGGACATAATCCTGCAAAATGGTATTGAAAACATCCCAAAAATATAGCCAAAATTCTTTTGGGAAAGAATCGAGGTCGGACGTCTTCTTATCTTCTATGCCTTTGAGTGCTTCTCGAAGGTCATTCAAGTTAGTCATAAGAGGTTTGCCCAACTCTCTATCTGCTGGGTGGACAGCAAGGAGATGCAATAAATTGCAGTTCCCAGTGGCATTGTACACTAAGTGTTCAACTGTGTAATTTGTTCACTTGTTGTTTCTTTGATTTGAGTTTTGCAAGACTTGTTGTCGTGACTCTTAACTTGTGTGTTTTGTTTGTGAGTGTTGTGCCCTATCGGACTTGATCATTGGATCTGTCACTAGTAGTCCCTATGTGGCAGTCGTAGGCCATTCAGCCTTTTCGCTTTTGCATTGTCCTAGGTTCGGGTCCCCTTTTCCTAGATTTATATCTAGATACATATGGATCTTCAACTATTGTCTGGGAGCCTGTTGTAGGTTTTGTCCGTCGGTAGAAGTAGTGAGCAGGAAATTTGGTTCGTTTTTTTTTTTTTTTTTCAGGCTGTTGGGAAAACTTTGCCCGTCAGTTGTTGGAGTGTTGCTGCGCTATGTTGGGCGAGGTCGTCTTCTTCCTCGAAGCCCAGCCATAGTTGGGGTTGGTTGTGAAACCGTATGAGTGCGCTTAAGAGCAAGCAGAAGCGTTTAACCCCCCCCCCCCCCCCGTGCGGTCAAACACGCTCAAAGCGTTTTTCACTGTGCAAACTCGTAAAAAAAATAACGACCGCACTTTAGGCGTTTGCGCGAGTACAGGGGATGTCATAGGGGAGGTTGCATGGAAAAAACAATTTGGGGGATGGGGACATTTTTTTGGAGGGGGAGGCTGGGGGTTAGGGGGTTAGGGGGTGCACGTGTGCGTGTGTGTGTGTGCATGTGTTTGTTTGTGTTTGTGATTGTGTTTGTGTTTGTGTTTATGCGTGTGTGTGCGTGCGTGTGTGTGTGTGTAAACCTATGTGTGTGTGTGTATGTGCATACGTGTGTGCGTGTGCGTATGCGTGTGTGTGTGTGTTTGTGAGAGGCATTGTCTATGTGTGTGTGTGTCTAGTTTTTTTTTCAGTTTTTTAGGTTTTTTATTTTTTTTAAATGCATATGAACTTCAAAATTAAAAATACAAATGGGGTCATAGATCTCCAAAAGATCCACAACCTTATTTTCTAAGTTATTTTCCCGGATATCCGGATGGTCCTGGACCATCCGTTTTATCCGACTGGAAAAAGGGGCCCGGAAGAACCCGAAAATTACCATTCCGGGACCTGCGCAAAATAGGCCCAGATCTTTTTTAAGGGGTTTAGGGGTGAGCAGGGGTTTTGATGACCATCTAGAACCCCACCTTGGAGGCGGATCCTGTAAGGGCCTTACTGGATTTGAAATAGTGATGGCCCGATCTGGGTCGTCGATCGACTGACATCGACGGTCCGGATCGGGCGAATTTTTGAATTCGAATTTGGCCCAGGCTTTTCGAGGAGTTGGCGCTCATCCCCAGCAACAGTCGGTGCGGCGCTGCCCCGTTGCCGTGGTGCCTGCTGCTCATCCCCTCCTGCTGCCTGTGTGTTGGGCCTGTCGGCACTGACGGCATGCTGCCTCGTTTCCCCACTGCCCCGCTGTTGTGCTGCTGGAGCCATCGCCGCCGCTGCTGGAGCCTTCGCCGGGAGAGTCCTCCTCCTGCTGCAATGAGGTGAACGTTCGGTCGTTATCCCCCTTCAGCCGCCTCCACCACCTCTTCCTCCACCACCTCTTCCTCTACCTCCCCTTCCTCCTCCTCCTCTTCCTCGCTCTTCTCCTCCACCTCCTCATCTTCTTCTTCATCCTCCTCATCGTCCTCCTCTTCCTCTTCCTCCTCCTCTTCTTCTTCTTCTTCCTCTCTTCCTTGTCGTCGTCCTCCTCCTCCTCCTCCTCTTCGCCCTCCACCTCCTCATCTTCTTCTTTTTCATGTTCCTCCTCCTCCTCCTCCTCTTCCTCCTCGTCCTCCTCCACCTCCTCATCTTCTTTTTTTTCCTCCTCCTCCTCCTCCTCCTCCTCCTCTTCCTCCTCGTCCTCCTCTTCCTCCTCATCGTCTTGTAGTTCTTCTCTTCTTCCTCCTCCTCCTCCTCAGCTGCTACATGCCCAGGAGTTGCCGTGTATATACCCTGCACAAGTGCTATGTAGAAGGCAACGAGGAGGAGAAGGGGGAAAAGGAAAAAAAATAAGTAGAAGACGAGGAGGGGGAAGAGGAAGAGGAAGAGGGGGAGAAGGATGAAGAAGAAGATGCAGAATACGAGGAAGAGGAGGAGGAGGAGGAGGAGGAGGAGGCGGACGAGGAGGAGGCGGTGGAGGGGGAGGGGGAGGAGGCTGAGGAGGAGGAGGAGAAGGAGGAGGGAGAGAAGGTTAACAACGGTTGTATTTTTCATCACCACTTCACAACACCCTTCACCACTTCAGGATGCAGCTTGCCTAAACAGGTGGTTTTCAGGGTCTTCGGACCTTTCACCACTTAAGGACCATTCAGGTCTGAAAATCCTGAATGGTCCTGAAGTGGTGAAAACTCCAAAGACCCTGAAAACCACATGTTTAGGCAGGCTGCATCCTCGAGTGGTGAAGGGTGGTTTTCATGGTCTTCGGACCTTTCACCACTTCAGGACCATTCAGGATTTTCAGACTGCCCAAAACTTTCACTTGACCACTTTAGGATACCCTTCACCACTTCAGGATGCATCCTGCCTAAACAGGTGGTTTTTAGGGTATTCTGACCTTTCACCACTTCAGGACCATTCGGGATTTTCAGACTGCCCAAAACTCTCACTTCATAATTTTCATTCCAGAATTTTCAGCTACCCGATGACCGCTTGTGGGAGGAGGCGGCGGAGGAGGAGAAGGCGGAGGAGGAGGACGAGGAGGCGACGACGGAGGAGGACGAGGAAGCGGAGGAGGAGGAGGAGAAAGAAGGAGGAAGGAAGAGGAGATGGAGAAAGAAGGAGGGAGGAGGATGATCGTTGAGGAGGAGGCGAAGGAGGAAGAGGAGGACGAGGACAAAGGAGGATCGCCAAGGAGGAGGAGGAGGAGAAGAAAGAAGGAGGAAGGAGGAGGATCGTCGAGGAGGAGGCGGGGGAGGAAGAGAAGGACGAGGCGGAAGGAGGATCGCCGAGGAGGAGGATCATCGAGGAGGAGGAGGAGGAGGAAAAAGGAGGAAGGCAGAGGATCGCCGATGAGGAGGAAGGAGTATCGCCGATGAGGAGGAAGGAGGATCACCGATAAGGAGGAAGGAGGATCGCCGAGGAGGAGAAAGGAGGAGGAGACAGAGGGGGAGGAAGAGGCGGAGGAGGAGGAGGAGGCGGAGGAGGAGGAGGAGGAGGAGAAGGAGGAGGAGGAGGAGGAGGAAAAGGGGGGGAGGGGCGGCACCGAGTCAGGGCAGTGGAAGGGCGATTGTGTCGCGTCGATCCCCCTCCCCCCGCCGCCAGCTGCATCGCAGCGGCCCCCCCCCCCTTTCCCAAAGAGTCATGAGCGACTTTGAATACTGTGTTGGTGTGGCCTGAGGGCTTGAACATTGGCACATTACTTCATTGTATTGCTCTATTTCGATGGATCCTCGGTGGAATTATGCTCTCTCCTTGTACACGAGTACTTGGACATTTGTGTCAATCAATCAATCAATGAATCTATAATAAAAAAAAAAGTTGTTATCCGATCATATCAATCGATTCGATTGGATCTTGATTTTGATTCAAAATCAGGATTCAATCGAATCAATTGATTCGATTAAATAACAATTTCTCTTTTTTTTTTAGATTGATTGATTGATTAATCCGATAGGTTTTTTTTTGTTTTTTTTTTTCATTGATCGATTAACGAATTTAACGAGGAAAAAGAAAGTTGGTCCGGGCGGTATAGCGCGGAACGGGTGATCGGTTGGGCTGCGAGGAGGAGGAATGGGCCGAGGAGGAGGAGGAGGAAGAGGAGGTGAGGAGGAAGAGGAGGTGAGGAGGAAGAGGAGGAGGAGGAAGAGGAGAAAGAAGGAAGAAGGAGGAGGAAGGAGGAGGAGAAGGAGGAGGAAGGAGGAGGAGGTGGTGGCGGAGGAGGAGGCGGAGGAAGAGGAAGAGGAGGAGGAGAAAAAGCAAGGGAGGGGCAGCAACGAGTCGGGGGAGTGGAAGGCCGACTATGTCGCGTCGACCCCCCTCCCCCACCGCCAACTGCATTGCAACAGCCCCCCCCCCCCTTCTCGAATAGAGAGGAGCGACTTTGGATACTGTGTTGGTGTCCCTTGAGGGTTGAACATTGACTCATTATTTCATTGTATAGTTCGATGGATTCTCGGTGCATTTATGCTCTTTGCTTGTACAGCACTATTCAGACATCTGTGTAATTTCGCAACTAGGCTTTATGTGTATTGTTCACACTCATATTTTTTGCATATCACTCACTCAATCAATCAATCAATCGAGAAAAAAAAAAAAAAAAAATTGTTATCCAATCGAATCAATCGATTCGATTGGATCTTGGTTTTGCTCACTCACTCACTCTCAATCAATCAATCAATCAATCGAAAAGGGAAAAAAAAAGAAAAGAACTATTATCCAATCGAATAAATCGATTCGATTGGATCCTGATTTTGATTCAAAATCAAGATCCAATCGAATCGATTGATTCGCTTCGATTGAATAACTGCTTCTCTTTTTTTTTTCGATTGATTGATTGATCCGATAGTTTTTTGTTTTTTTTTTTCACTGATCGATTAACGGGGGAAAAACAAAGGTTGGTCAGGGCGGTATGGGGCCGAACACGTGATCGGTTGGACTGCGAGGAAAAGGAATGGGCCAACGAGGAGGGGGAGGAGGAGGAGGAGGAGGAGGAGGCGACGAGGAGGAAGAGGAGTAGGAGGAAGGAGGATCGTCGAGGAGGAGGAGGAGAAGGAAGGAGGAGGATCGCCGAGAAGGAGGTGGAAGGAGGAGGCGGAGGAGGAGGAGGAGGAGGAGGAGGCGAAAGAGGAAGAGGAGGAGGAGGAAAAGGGGTGGAGGGACGGTGGCGAGTCGGGGGAGTGGAAGACCGACTATGTCGTGTTGACCCCCCTCCCCCGCCGCCAGCTGCATCACAGCAGCCCCCCCCCCCCTTTCCCAAACAAAGAGGAGCGACTTTGGATACTGTGTTGGTGTGGCCTGAGGGTTGAACATTGGGTCATTACTTCATTGTATTGCTTTAGTTCGGTAGATTATCAGCGCAATTATATGTTCTTTCCTTGTACACGACTACTCGGACATTCGTGTAATTTCGCAACTAGGCTTTTTGTGTATCGTTCACACTCATATTCTTCCCAAATGAATCAATCAATCGATTCAATCAACCAATCAATCAATCAATCAATAATTGTTATCCAAACGAATCAATCGATTCGTCTGGATCTTGATTTTGATTCAGAATCATGATCAAATCGAATCGATTAGTTCAATTGGAAAAATGAGATGGTTAACAACAGTCATATTTTTCATCACCACTTCAGGACACCCTTCATCAATTCAGGATGCAGCATGTCGAAACAAGTGGTTTTCAGGGTCTTCGGACCTTTCACCACTTCCGAACATTCAGGTCTGAAAATCATGAATGGTCCTGAAGTGGTGAAAGCTCCGAAGACCCTGAAAACCACATGTTTAGGCAGGATGCATCCTCAAGTGGTGAAGGGTGGTTTTCATGGTCTTCGGACCTTTCACCACTTCAGAACCATTCAGGATTTTCAAACTGACCAAAACTCTCACTTGACCACTTCATGACACCCTTCACCGCTTCATGATGCAGCCTGCCTAATCAGGTGGTTTTCAAGGTCTTCGGACCTTTCACCACTTGAGGATCATTCAGGATTTTTGGACTGCCTAAAACTCTCACTTTAAAATTTTCATTCTTGAATTTTCAGCTACCCAATAACCGCTTGTGTTGGATAACAGTTTCTCCTTTTTTTTTCTATTGATTGATTGATTAATTGATCCGTTTTTTTTTGTTTTGTTTTTTTTTTTTTCATTAATCGATTAACGAAAAAAAACAAAAATGCTGGTCCGGGCGGTATGGTGTCGAACGCGTGATCAGTTGGACTGTGAGGAGCAGGAAAGGGTCATCGAGGAGGGGGAGGAGGAGAAGGAGGAGGCGAGGAGGAAGAGGAGGAGAAGAAAGAGGAGACGAGAGGAGACGAGGAGGAAGAGCAGGAGAAGGAAGGAGGATCGTCGAGGAGGAGGAGGAGGAGGAGAAAGGAGCAAGATCGCAGAGAAGGAAGGAGGATCGCCGAGGAGGAAGAAGAGGAAGGAGGAGACGGCAGAGGAGGCGGAGGAGGCGAAGGAGGCGGAGGAAGACGAAGAGGAGGAGGAGGAAAAAGGGGGGAGGGACGGCGGCGAGTCAGGGGAGTGGAAGGCCGACTAGGTCGCGTCGACCCCCCTCCCCCGCCGCCAGCTGCATTGAAGCAGCCCCCCCCCCTCCTTCCCCTACAAAGAGGAGCGACTTTGGACATTGTATCGGTGTGCCCTGAGGGTTGAAAATTGACACATTACTTCATTGTATTGCTTTAGTTCGATGGATTGTGCACGACTACTCGAACATCTGTGTAATTTTGCAACTAGGTTTGCTGTGTATCGTTCACACTCATATTCTTTGCATATCAATCAATCAATCAATCAATCAATCAATCGAAAAAAAAAATAAAAAAATTTGTTATCCAATCGAATCAATCGATTTGATTGGATCTTGATTTTGATTCAAAATCAAGATCCAATAGAATCGATTGATTCGATTGGATAACAGTTTTTCTTTTTTGTTTCGATCGATTGATTGATTGGTTGATTCATCCAGTAGGTTTTATTTTTGTTCGTTTTTTTCATTGATCGATTAACGGGAAAAAAAAGGGTTGGCCCAGGCGGTATGGGGTCGAACATGTGATTGGTTGGACTGCAAGGAGCAGGAAAGGGCCAACGAGGAGGGGGAGGAGGACAAGGATGAGGACGAGGAGGTGAAGATGAAGAGGAGGAGGAGGAGGAGGAGGAGGCGAGGAGGAAGAGGAGGACGAGGAAGGAGGATCGTCGAGGAGGACGAGGAGGAGAAAGAAGGACGAAGGAGGATCGCCGACGAGGAGGAAGGAGAATCGTTGAGGAGGAGGAAGGAGGACGAGGTGGAAGAGGAGGAGGCAGAGAAAGAGGAAGAGTAGGAGGAGGAAAAAAGGAGGAGGGGCGGCGATGAGTCGGGGGAGTAACTATGTCGCGTCGACCCCCTTACCCCGCTGCCAGCTCCATCGCATCAGCCCCCCCCCCCCTTCCCYAACAGAGAGGAGCAACTTTGGATACTGTGTTGGTGTGGCTTGAAGGTTGAACATTGGTTCATTACTTCATTGTATTGCTTTAGTTCGATGGATTCTCGATGCAATTATGCTCTTTCCTTGTACACGACTACTAAGACATCTGTGTCATTTCGCAACTAGGCTTTCTGTGTATCTTTCACACTCATATTCTTTGCATATCAGTCAATCAATCAATCAATCAATCAATCAACCAATTAATCAACCAATCAATCAACCAATCAATCAATCAATTCATTCATCAATCAATCAATCAATCGGGAACGAAAAAAAAAATTGTTATCCAATCGAATCGATTAATCAACCAATCAATCAACCAATCAATCAATCAATCAATCAATTCATTCATCAATCAATCAATCAATCGGGGAAAAAAAAAAAAATTGTTATCCAATCGAATCAATCGATTCGATTGGAAATTGATTTTGATTGAAAATCAAGATCCAATCCAATCGATTGATTGATTCAATTGGATAACAATTTATTTTTATTTGTTTTTTGGTTGATTGATTGATTAATTCATCCGATAGTTTTTGCTGGTAGGAACAGTCACTTCAAGCTGGTCCGGGTTAGGCTGAACTCTCGACAGAAATATCAATCAACAGTCTGCGGTGTGCTGAGTTTGGTCTCTAGTCCTCTCTTTTCTTTTTTCTGTTTGTGATCCACCTTATGAGGCCACCACCCTCCCTTTCCTTGGGGCAATTGTCCTCAGCGTACCCCCTTCTCCCCAGTGCTGCTTTGGCTTTTTTTTTTTTTTTTCGAAATTTTTTCTTCAGCTTCTGTATGTGTGGGCAGGGACCACAAACAAGGCAGTTTGTACCAAAAATGGTCCATTGACTCCATTCCATTTATTTTGACCCTCCCCTCTTTTGGCTTTTTTTCTCGTGACCAAGAGAACCACAGATATCCTCTTTTCTTTTTCAGGCCAGGATTTGATCTCGTCAATTCTGTTTTTTTTTTTTCATTGATTGATTAACGGAAAAAAAAAGGTTGGTCCAGGCGGTATGGGGCCGAACGAGTGATGGGTTGGACTGCGAGGAGGAGGAAAGGGCCAACGAGGAGGAGGAGGACAAGGAGGAGGAGGAGGAGGAGGCGAGGGGGAAGAGGAGGTGGAGGAGGAGGAGGAGGAGAATGTGAGGAGGAAAAAGAGGAGGAGGAAGGAGGATCGTCGAGGAGGTGGAGGAGGAGAAAAAAGGAGGATCGCCGAGGAGGAGGAGGAAGGAGGGGGAGGCGGAGGAGGAGCAGGAGGCGGAGGAAGAGGAAGAGGAGGAGGAGGAAAAAAGGGGGAGGGGCGGTGGCGAGTCGGGGGAGTGGAAGGCCGCCTATGTCGCGACGACCCCCCTCCCCCGCCGCCAGCTGCATCGCAACAGCCCCCCCCTCCCTTCCCAAACAAAGAGGAGCGGCTTTGGATACTGTGTTGGTGTGGCCTGAGGGTTGAACATTGGCTCATTACTTCATTGTATTGCTTTAGTTCGGTGGATTCTCGGTGCATTTATATTATTTGCTTGTACACGACTACTCGGACATCTGTGTGATTTCGCAACTAGGCTTTCTGTGTATCGTTCACACTCATATTCCTTCCATATCACCCACTCAATCACTCGATCAATCAATTAATCAATCATTCAATCAATCAATCAATCAACCGAAAAAAAAAAAAAAAAAAAAAATTGTTATCCAATCGAATCAATCGATTTGATTGGATCTTGATTTTGAATCAAAATCATAATCCAATCGAATCATTCGATTGGATAACAGTTTTCTTTTTTTTTTTCGATCGATTGATTTATTGATTGATTGATCCGATTGTTTTTTTTTGTTTTTTTTTCATTGATCGATTAACGGGAAAAGAAAAAGGCCGGTCCGGGCAGTATGGGGCCGAACGCGTGATCGGTTGGACTGCGAGGAGGAAAGCGCCAACAAGGAGGGGGAGGAGGAGGAGGAGGAGGAGGAGGCGGCGTAGAGGAAGAGTTGGAGGAGGGGGAGGAGGCGGCGAGGAGGAAGAGGAGGAAGAGGAGGAGGAGGAAGAGGAAGAGGAGGAGAAAGAGGAGGAGGAAGGAGGATCGTGGGGGAGAAAGGAGGAAGGAGGCAGAAGAGGAGGCGGCGTAGGAAGAGGAGGAAGGAGGAGGAAGGAGGAGGAGGAAGGAGGATCGCCGAGGAGGAGGAGGAGGAAGGAGGAGGAGGAGGAAGAGGAGGAGGCGGAGGCGTAGGAAGAGGAAGAGGAGGAGGAGGAAAAGGGGGGGAGGGGCGGCGGCGAGTCAAGGGAGTGGAAGGCCGATTATGCCGCGTCGACCCCCCTCGCCCACCGCCAGCTACATCGCAGCAGCCCCCCCTCTCCTTCCCAAACATAGAGGAGCGACTTTGGATACTGAGTTGGTGTGGCCTGAGGGTTGAACATTAGCTCATTACTTCATTGTATTGTTGCAGTTCGATGGACTCTCGTTGCAATTGTGCTCTTTGTTGTTCACGACTTCTCGTGCATCTGTGTAATTTCGCAACTAGGCTTTATGTGTATCGTTCACACATGAGTACACCCACAAAGAGCGGTACACCCGACAAGCTTGCATTTGTTGTGGCCAATATAGCCATAACCAATTCAAGTGTCGTAACAAAAAGGTGACCGGGAAGATCCCGCCTACGATGGGTCAGGCGTTAGGATCCTCCGCTTCCGTTGGTAGCAATGTGACCAGTAGTTCTGACACTGCTCCGGGAAACGCGTCGGGCCAGTAATGGTAAATGTTTCTGCTAGGGTCGAGGTGGTGGTCACACCCTCACCATCTCGAGAGATGGTGCGTTGGGATCCTCAGCTCCCGTTGATAGCAATGTGACCAGTAGTTCTAACACTGCTCCGAGAAACGCGTCGGGCCAATAGGAATGGTAGATGTTTCTGATACGGTCGAGATGGTGGACACACCCTCACCATCTCGAGAGATGGTCCAAGCTTCTGACTCCATCGTCATCCCGCAAACACATTATGACCCATCGAGCCTCTATTCGATGGATGTCTTTGAATCCTTAGAGGAGCTAGAGGAGGAGTGGTCTAGATCAGACCCACTAACATTTTGGACGGCATTGGCCAAAGCCCCTAAAGGACAGATGTTCGTCGACGAGGTAGTCATCGGCGGCCGCAAGGCCGGGGCCGATTATGACACTTGCTCGACTAGGAACTTCATTAGTCACGCGTGTGTTGAGAGGTTGCGCTTACAGGGGCGAATGCAGCGCCTAAGTCGATTTGTGGAGTCGACATGTGCCAACACACAGTGCATGGTAGTCAACGACTACCACCAAGATGTTGAGTGTCGTTTCCCGTATGAGGGAAGGGAATTGAGACATTGTGTCTCATTCCTAGTGAGCGATGATTTCCCTATGGATATCTTGTTAGGTATGTACTACCTTTTTGTGGCACCGAAAAGTGGTCAAACACACTTCGCTACGTGTGGGGACCGCCGGATTATGTAAGTTTAAAGCTCGTAATCTGATCGAGTCTCACGGATGCATGAGTGCGGCAGCGTTCTATAACTATAATAAGCAAAATCCGGAGGAGGGTATGTATCTAGCTTATGTCTCTACAGTAGGCGATACGGTGAAAATATCGTCGAAGGTGGAGGGAGTAGTTGCCAAGTACCCTGATGTATTTGAAGAGCCTACAGGGATTGTTAAGAGGGAGGTCGTTAAGCAATAGAGATTATCCCAAGGTCTAGTATCCCAAAGCTTAGGATCTATCGGATGTCTCTAGGCGAACTTTATAAGCTTCGTTGGCAACTGAAGGAACTCATAGAGAAGGGTTGGATTCGGCCGAGTGTTTCTCCTTATGGATCTCCAATCCTATTCGTACCGAAGGATGTGCATTGATTATAGGGGCCTTAATGCCATCATTATCAAGAACAGAGAGCCCCTACCGCGCATCAACAACTTGTTAGATAAAGTGCAAGGGTGCCGGTACTTCAGTAAGATAGATCTGAAGTCCGGGTACCATCAGATTGCAACCCGGCCCGATGATCAACAAAAAAACGCATTCCTGACCAGGTACGGTCTGTACGAGTTTATCGTGATGCCTTTCAGCCTTTGTAATGCTCTTGGCACGCTATGAATCGGACATTTCACGACTACTTGGATAAGTTTGTCATTGTGTACCTCGGCAGTTGTCTGAAAGCAGCCTCACACCCGTTTGTCCACTCCCATGGGGTGTCAAGGCGAGTCAGATTCGTCAAAGGGGTGACCACTATGCTATAATTCTGAACAAAATTGCAGTAGTAGCCTGATATCCCTAAGAAGGACCTCATCTCAGTCAAAGACTGAGGACGCAGCCAGTCACGAATGCTGACCACCTTCGCGTCATCGGGCTTCAAACCCTCTGCGAAAGTCTCATGACCCAAGTATAAGATATGGGTGTGGCCAAACTCACACCTCTCCCCATTTATCTTTAACTTGTGCTGCCGAAGGAGACTGAGGACTTTGTCTAAGTGCGCTACATATGCCTTGAGGTCTTGAAACTTCCTGATCCTGACAAACCTTTCGTAGTAACTACGGATGCTAGCCAATATGGCACAGGCGCCGTACTTGCGCAGCAGGAGGGGAAAAAGTTGAGGCCGGTAGAGTACATATCCAAGCGCTCACCCACTAGAGGGACTACCTCCTTGGTCGCTTTTTCTATGTCAGGACTGATCATCAGACCCTGAGATTGATGAAGATTCGACCGGTACTCTCCTACGCTTTGAAGCGTTGGATCGAAGTCATTGAGCAGTATGACTTTGAACCCCAGTACATCAAGAGGGTGTACAACAAGTTGCTGCCGGACTATCTCATAGACCAGACTTTCTCGACGTGCTGGTCACCGAAACTGGGCTTGCGGACAATGTTACTTAGTTTTTGGTGGATACCTATCACGAGGGCCCGTTTATGCCCGAGATCATACGCAGACTCGAGGCTAAAGACAAAGAGACTTTTGTCGAGTTTGAGTTGGTCAACGGCATGCTGTTCCTTGAGAAGGCCGGGAATAAACGTTTGGGTGTTCCCAATAGGGAATCTTTGCGTAGTTTATTTTTAGGTGAGTATCATATGATGTCACCGAACATTTTGGCTTCAAGAAGCCTGCAGCCAATCTGCTGCAGCGGTTCTGGTGACCCACAATGATGAGAGATGTATGTCGAGACTTGTCAAGTTTGTCACCGTGACAAGCCCCTTACACACGCTCCTCTT